GTTAGGTTTCTCATATTACAATGTGCTGTCCTGACAGGAGTCCTTGTCATACCTTGAGCAAATCAAACAAAACTAAACACAATATCCTAATTATCTTTGTTCACAAACACTCTTATTGGTATTAGTTTGCTCAACTAAATGTTGGATCTTTTCAACTGCATGGGTCTCATTTTTGTATGTTAACATCTAAAATTGATGACCAAATTGCATCTTGTTATTCTAGGTCCTATCTGTATCTCACATGCATTTGATGTAATTCTATCCGTTTTTCAGCATGGGGGAATGCGTTTTTGTTGAAACACATGAAAACTCAACCATCAGATTGATGTTATGAAAAACCCAAGTACAGTCTTTTGTTTAAGTGATAATCAGTAGATTGAGAGTGGGGTCATAGACCAGTGTTAAGTTATGAATTAGGTTATGCTGTGTGCATATGTATTTATTTGTTTATTTAATTTTTCACCTATAGTTCAATTTTTTTTTACTAGCAGCAAGAGGGCAGTGCTGCCATTTTTGAGTGAGTAGGTGTCAGCTCAGGGCTGAAGAAGAGAAGAAGGCTTCATTAGTGGGTCCTGGGCAGGTGTGTTTCCTTTGTTCTTCATTGTGCTGATGACTGCAGAGACGCCACTGGTAGGTTGAGACAGTTTCAAATGTATTCAAAGGATAAAACTGTAATTGCTAATTTGAGTTATGGTATGTTGGATGTTAAATGATTGTTGATAGATTAATTAATTAATTAATTAATTAATTAATATGGGTTTGTGTTTTTTTTTTTTATTTTAAGGTTATCAACTATTGAACACTCAGCCTGATTCCTTTCTGAAAAAATGAAATAAAAGATGGAAATGAGTGAAGTTGACCAGCGTCCTCTGTGGTCGTCAATGCCGAGCCGAGTTTAGGCAGATAATGAAGTTCATGATCCAATAACTCGACAACCAGAAATCACAAGTCAGTAGTGAAGAGTCACACATCTGTATAGAGTTAATGAGGTTGTTGGTGCAGGCTCGTGTAATGTTGCCCTATGCTTCCTGAAGGGCTTGTTGAAGTTGAGGATCAGATTGTCAACTCCTTCTGATCAGAGCATTATGTGGCAGACTGCGTGTCATACCATGCTGTCTGAAAGTATTTCTTCAACGGTGAATGGTGGAGTTTTGGACATTCAAGTGCCTGGCTATGGCTGATGACATGCCAGCATCCAGCATGCCAATAGCCTGTTCTCTTGTTTGTCTTGTTATCCATGGTATTATGTTGTTTAAATAAAAATGTCTTTTCAGGTGGCCTCTTTAGTCACTGGTGAAAGGAGTGTCTTTTATGATGTGATCATTGTCCTTTAAAGTCACACTTGATTCAATGATTGGGAATTTGTCACTAGTTGAACAGTTAAGAAACGTTTTGTGCACAACTGCCTAAATTTAACCTTTTTGCAAACACAGCAGCTGAAGTCAGATTTGCAATATTTTGCCTTAAGTCAGAAAATAAGGCCCTGTTGTGCTGCCTTGTTCTGTGTATTTTTCCCTTTCTTTTAGGTAAATTTTTATTTTTCAAAAATAGTTCAAACATTTGTAAAGATTGTGTTGTTTTTGTTTTAGAGCCACCATACAGAGATTTTCAAGTCTTTTAAATATCAGTCGCATTTTATTGTGAAAATCGGCGTCTTACGTCGACGTGTTTCGTGACGTCGTACGTAAATAAGTTGATCAGGCTGTTATTAGCTCGGTTGTTTTCCTCCTTTAGTGTGATCATCCGCTTCGGTTATATTAATGTCAGGGCTAATTTTACATACAAACACGGAGTTAAAACGGTACTAATATTTTATCCGACACATTAGGATATGCCATCCGACTTTGTAACGTAAATACAAAGTGAGCCTCGTCTGGACAACAAACCGAGTCTTTAGGCAACCTGCTAACCGGGGTTAGCACCACAAATCTCCACGCTGTGTGCACACATTCTCTTCCATCTTTTCTTCGTCTGTAGTCGGCCTTGTATTCTGTCACCGCTTTCAGTCCGTGGTGTCGCCAGGAGAGAATGAACTGGCTTTTCCCCCTGTCCAAAGGCTCCGGACCTCTCCCCCCTCTGAACAGCCTACAGCAACAAAGACAGCGGCAGATCGAGTCGCTGAAATCCGCTCACCCAAGGTAACGACGACCTGTCACCTATAAAAAAGAGAAAAGAAACAAGAAACAGCTGCTCGTTTGCTTGTTAACATTGTTTTGTCCGGAACAAAGCGCTTTACCGACGATGTTTCCCAACCACTTTAATCAAGAACACGTTGACTCAGCTCACATACACAGCCCTTGTTTACTTAGCACAGCTAGCCACTTGGCTCACAGCAAAGGAAGAAGTACAGTATGCTAACAATTAGCTTATCATTTGTTATCGTTCATATTTATCCCTGCTATTATGTAAACATGTCAAAACAGTGCCACGTGATTTTACTGCCACTGCTTTGACACCCCTAGTGAGTTCTTTGCAGGCTAATGTTTGCTAACTTGTCCTCAGAGCTAACTAGCTTGCTCGCCAGGGAGCTATGTTAGCTGGCGTGCTAATCAAGTCAGTCAGTGACAGTGACAGCGGCTATTTTTAGGGTTGATGACACCAGCTGGAGCTGGTTGGCCGTGTCCTGTGATCATTCCGTTGTTTGTCACGCGTGTAGTTTTAGGATGAGCTCGTTACTTGGATGTGGAGATTAAAGTATTAACCTTTGTTTACCAAGAAGTTTCGTTCCCTCAGTGAGCATTTGTCTTATCTTCGTACTCAGCTAGACACAGACGAACTGTTCTCATAATTCATCTCTTGTAAGCTACACGCATGAAATCATCGTCGTATCTGTACTGCTGTGAAGTATGCCAAGTGTGTGACTCAGGGGAAATTGGATTACTCACTTTGTGTGAAGGAACCATGCGTTTCAATTGCAGTTCATGGGATTTCCGAAGCTAATGTACAATGGAGAAGGCTGTTCATGCCATGGCAGCGGTGTTATGGAAAAACTAGTTGAGCAGTGAGAACATTTTGAACCCTGAAGCCTGTACAGGACTAGCCTTTTTTGACTTTTAACTCTCAGCTTTGTAAAGAAGATGTGGATTGTTTGAAAATCTGGTATTCATTTATATCATCGGCCTTAAAACTTATTGCAGTTTGCTTCAATTCTTTACTGACATGAATCATATGAACAGTGTAATGTGGTGACGCTACAGCGAGTCAAGCAAATATTGGGATGAAGGGCAGTGAACGTAGAAGTTTGTCGTTATAGGGTATTAGTGAACACTGAATTATGATTGTAAAATTGGCAAAACTGAACATCAGAAGAAAATAGAGCATTTTTTCTTAAGTATAAATATTTTTGCACTTAAGATCTGATATAAATGAAGAAATCCTGTTAAAATATACGTTTTTGTTGCGCTCTTACATTGACGCAGCTGCATATCAGTAAATGCTATAAACCATTTGTGAGGAAATGCGATCACAAAACATCTTAAAGACGTAAAACACTTGTACACTGAAGAATACATACTATATTTCATGAAACCACTGCTGAAACTTGTTTCTCTTTTTTTTCAATAAGAAAAAGAGTGATTTGGTGAGGATAGGCAATAAAGACTTGTCTTTATAAATCTGTCTCTTTCTCTCCAAACTAGAAGAATTTTCATAAACAACGATGGTAGATGTATCATATGTTTTCTCATTGTATTATGACAGAACATGACCATAAATACCTGATTAGAAATAATCACATTTCTGTGTTCCTGTCTCTCCCCAGCCTTGCAGAGATCCAGAAAGATGTGGAGTACAGAATACCATTCACAGTCAACAACTCCACCATTAGTGTTAACATGTGAGTACATCTTTGCACATACAGTCACAATGTCAGACGATCAACAGCAGATGTTCTTCCTGCCTCATGGTCAGTGTGTAGCTCAGTCACTGATGTGGTTTAAATTCTGGCTTTGATTTGACCGCTCTGTTCATGCAACTACATCCAAAGGACTGCTAGCGTTACAGTAGAAAAAACACAGAGAAGAAAGAGGTGACAAGAAAAACTAGAACAGCCAGTTAACAACCCAAACAACATGTGTCATTGGCTTTAGTCCCTGAACTAGTCAAACTCTGTATATTTGCAAGAGCTTAGTGAAAACGTTAACTGCATTCCTTTCTCTTCGTGGGAAGACTTCCATTTTTGTCACCTGCAAAGCCTCATAGAACATAAGACTGTGCTGTGTAGAGACTAGGGATGGGTACAGCGGACTGGTCTTAAGTAGATTCTGGTTCTGGGTAAGTCAAACCTGTCCAGGGTGTACGCTTCATTTCGCCCTAAGTCGGCTGGGACAGGCTCCAGCAACCCTCTGCAGGACAAAGCAGTATAGAGATCATGAATGGGTGTTTATATTTTGTCTCTTTCTTCCAGTCTGCTGCCTCCTCAGTTCCCTCAGGAGAAACCGGTTGTTAGTGTCTATCCTCCCGTTGGTCATCATTTAGTTGACAGCAATAATGGCACCATGATCACAAGCCCCCTCATCACTAATGTAAGTAGTTGTCTTTTTTTTTTTTTGATTTGTGATGTGATACAGTCTAGAAAACCTCAGGCCAGGTTGTTGGCTGGAGAGGTGGCTGCAGCATATGCTAATGAGCACACTAATACAAATTCTGTCTGCATTGTTGAGCCTATTGATGCTGGAATTAATATTTAAAATGATATTTTGTGTCAATCTTTTGATGCTTAGGAGATGAGTCTGACCACCCCTAACAGTGGTAGAGATGAGATAGCACAATGTTGACTGCAAACACTGGCATGATTTTTAATCGTTTTTAAGAGAAACCCAATAACTACAGTGCATGAAGGGGACAGTGTTGCTGTGGCAGCAGTGTGGCAAGTTAAAGGGAAAGATCATTACTCATGGTAGTGGCCAAGGTAATTTAATCTCACATCTGACTATAACTGAAACTGAAATGAGTCAGGCAAAGTAAGGTGGTTTCCAGTATGTGTTTGAAAAATGAAGCCACGTGAACTCTAAAGAAACACTGTACTTTCTCAGAACAGAGTTTGTCTTATTATTACAGCCTTAGTCCACATGCTCTGACTTTTTGACAAGGAAAAATGTGTTCATGACATTATTTTTACTTGCTTTTTACTTTGATATTTCATTTCCTGTTTTCATGATTTTATCATGCCACTATCCCTGACGTTTTCTGACACAAGGGTACACACACACACACAAGTACATGCTATAAAACCCTGATCAGAGGTATTAGTGTACATGTAAACACAGTAACAAAATAATCAAAGAAACCACTACATCTAATGTCTAATGCAGTAATATATACTGAACAGAAATATAAATGCAGCATGTTATGTTTTCCTAAATGACATCTATTTTTTTTTAGCATGGGGGGAATAAGTATTTGTTGTTCCAACACATGACATCACTATACAAGAGGTATGGACTATAATGGGCAGAGAGTGGGATTTTAGACCAGAAATCACAACTCACACATCTGCTACGCATAGAGTCAATGAGGTTGTTGATGCAGGCTAGTGTAATGTTGTCTTGCTCTTCCTGAAGTGCTTCCTGATCGGAGATATTAGTGTGCGTGTAAACATACTAATCAAATATGCCAGCCCAAAACAGAGACATGGGGAGAAATCTGAGTACCGAGCAGCTGCATGTAAACATTGGTCTGACAAAAATCAAGTAAATGTGTTCTCCAGGTTTGTCCTTGGTAGCTTGTTTTATTTTTTTGTGCATCAGATGTAGAAACTTGTTTTTCTTTTTCCTGCTTCTTTTCTTCCTTCTTTTTCTCTCCATTAAGAAAATGTCCTCATTTTACTTAAGATCTTTTGTTAATTCAGGCTTTGTTCTGCTCATGTTCCATCGAGTATTTAGATTGTCTTGTTGTATATGTTGCAGTTTGGGATGCATTCAGATCTGGGCAAGGTCATTCAAAGTCTGCTGGACGAGTTCTGGAAAAGTCCGCCTGCCTTGATGTCCACCGGCCCTCCTGGCTTTCCATAGTGAGTCTCCTTTTAAATTCATTGAGAATATCGAAATCCTATTTCTAAGTATTTTCTCATTACATTCTCAAAAACATCGGGTCTTCTTTTTTGTTGAGATTTTCCTCCATGCTTTTTTTTGCACACTTTTAACTTCCCTATTTAATTTTTTTAAAACTTTTAAATAAATTGTGTTAAAATTTGTATATTTAATATGTTTGTTATGCTTGTTTTTCTCTCCCCCCATTTACGGCAGCAGCATTTACAAACAATCAGGCATCGCTCCCTACCCTACTCAGGCTTACCACTATGGTCCTCGCCACGTGGGTCCCAGCCAGACTCCGCCTCCTGGTCCGGGCCCAGCACCATCTCCAGCTCCTATGCCTCACCCGGGGGTCGATAGTGCCCATGGGCCCCCTCGAGCTCCTGCCCCATATGGACTGATATCTGACCTGCCACTGCCTGTACCTACTGCAGACTCACAGGTACACTGTTGGTGGATGATACACATGGTTTGGCTCCTAACATCCATTCTGACACAAGCACACAGAGAAGCATCATGTAGAATTTGAGTTTTCTAAATGAAGGGAAATAAATCTTTATTTATTGGTCTGTAAACTGCTTGTTATTCTTCAACTCAATAAAATTAAACTCTCGAGCTCCAGTGTGCTCTGAAAGGCAAATGTCAAGTTAAGCATTTGAGAGTTTTCAAAGTTTCAGTTTCACCAAACCAGATAAAAATAAATTACAAAAAACAAAACAAGCAGTACAATAACATTCTCTGTAGCACTGACACCATAACAGCTTAAGATTTTCCAACACAGTTAAGAAGAGATTTTTGATATTTTTCTTGAAACTGATTGTAAGAATTCAGACAAATCTAGCGTCCACTTAAATCCATCTCCGTCTCTTTCAGGCTGGACTGAACGGACACATGTACAAGATGCCTGAGATTCCCGAGACTTTTCCTGAACTCTGTGAAATGAAGTAAAGTATTTCAGAATGCTATCAACATAAAATGTCTTTAATATTTTATTATTCAGACATTGTTTGAGCAAGTCACAAGTGTTTCAGAAAAGAGGTTTGAAAAGCATTGATGGTTTGCCTCTCTTGTTCTTGCTCACTGTTATGTGTCTCTCTGTGTGTGTCCACCTGTCGCTTCACGCCACTCCAGTCTGGCCCAGCTGTCTGATATGTCTGATAACGAGGACGTGTTACTGGAGTTCTTTGTGAGTTTACCACAGCTCAAACAAGTCACCAGTGATAAAGAAGAACTGGTCACCAACATAGTGGACATGGCTAGTAAGTTCCTCTCTTGTCCCTTCCCAGACAGCAAGGCCTTCATGGTCTGCTGTGACAGAGGAGCTTTACTTGAGTCCAGCTTTATAAAGAATCTTTCTGTCATTTTCAGAGAAGAACCTTCAGATGGAGCCACAGCTGGAAGGAAAAAGACAAGAGATGCTCTACAAGGTTGGTTCTTTCATTACATGACCTACTTTCATCCCCACACATGCACAGCAAATACATTCATGCCTTTTGTCATGCTGCTCACAATGTGTGTTTTTGTCTGTTGCGTTGGCAGTATGAACAGCTGACTCAGATGAAATCGGCCTTTGAGACAAAGATGCAGAGACAGCATGAACTCAGTGAGGTAAATCGCTACACTAATAGTTTCATTGACAGCCGACGTTTAGAGCAGATGCACGTTTTGGATTGATGCGCTTGTTGCAGTTTTTTTTTTTTGCATTTCAGTGACCTATACTGATGATTTGAGTTGCTCCCTGGCTTTAAGGATGTTGGAAATAGTTATAGTACTTTTAACTTAAGCTTATGACAATCAACTGGCCAGTGTCAATCAGATCATATATATCATATTTTATTGTGTTTTATTGATCAGCAGAGACGTCTAAAGCCACATTACTGTTGCATTGTCAAATAAAACAAATCTAATAAGGAAATATTGTACAATTCAAAGAAATCAATCACCCAGAACATGCTTGAATATGTCCTTAAACTCTTCTGACATTTTCTGTCTCTCATTTTCTTACTTTTGTGCCTTTAACCCCCACCAGAGTTGTAGTCTAAGCACTCTGCAGGCTCGATTAAAAGTTGCAGCCCACCAGGCAGAGGAGGAGTCGGAGGAGACGGCCGAAAACTTCCTGGAGGGACGCACCGACATCGATGAATTCCTGACCAGCTTCATGGAAAAGAGAACGGTGAGAGGCCAAAAGTGCAGTATTTGTGTAAACATACTTGTTTAAATGTTGACTTTATTGATTGTGCGAGAAGTGTACTGTACTGTGTGATAATATAAGAAGGAAAAGGGCTCATTGGTGGGTTTTTATGTTTTTCTGCAGCTTTGCCACAGCAGACGGGCCAAAGAAGAGAAGTTGCAACAGTCCATCAACACACATGGACAGTTTCCTACCAGCCACTAGAACACAAGGTAGAACACACAAACATGTGCTATCTTTGTGAGGACCCTCAGTGACATGAACTCACTTTTCCCCCCTTTACATCACAGTTAAATACATAATCCTACCTTTAACCAAATTCTAACCTTAAAAAAAACGATTTAACCCACAAATTTAAGGTGAAGAGGACCAGCCTCAAGGTCCTCAAAACCTATGAAATGCCCTCACAGCAATGGTTCTGAGTCAAAACTGGTCCTCACAAAACCAAAATTCCTCATAAAGATTGCAAAACATGTTGACAAGGGCAGTTAAGAAGCAAAACACACAAGACTGTCACATCACAGTCATCTGTTGCCTTATAGGCTAAAAGTAGTGCTTCTCAGCTGACAGTTTCACAACAGAGCTCATGCTTGTTGTTTACAGCTAAACTCTCCTCTTGTTTTAATCAGATAAATCTGACATGTTATGATTGTCCATTCTGCTCCTCATGCCATGTCTTTGGTCCTCAGGTTTGGTGTTTTCTCAGCCAACTGCTGCCAACTCAAAGGAAAAAGACAGTAAAGGGGCCGAAAAGCACACTGAGTCAACAATGGGCACTTTGGAGAAATAAGAAGATAACAAAGGCAGTGCTGGGCTAAAAATCAGAAGCCCGTTGTGTCCAGATTTGAGCTTCAAAAGAAAACTGTTGATTTTGGATCGTGTGAGCGCAAGATGGAGAAACTTTTGAGTCACCACAGGAGGCCAGAACTGGGGGAATGAGCGACACATGCCTAGATGTTCCAGTCACATTACTAAGGACGGATCACATTGTGGATAATTTTTTATTTTTTTGCACATTCAGTTTGTCCAGTTTTGACTTGACAGTGATGACAAGAGTTTTGTTTCTTACTCGGATTCATGTCACGTTGCTCAGTTCAGAGCAACACCTGCACTTGATCAGAGTGTTTGGTGACGTGAAAGACGAAAGTACAAATTGCTTAGCACAGTATTCCAATCTTACATTTCTCCATGCAGTGAGCAAGTTAATATCACTTAAAAATTGTTGTGAAATGCTGATGTTGGTGTCTGTACTATCCATCTCTGAGATCAGTGTCCGGTCCTTGCTTTTTTTTGTCCCTCAGAGGAAATGCTGTGCGAATATTTTCGCTCACATTGAAAAAGTTGTTCTTGACATTGACATAAATCAATCTGGGGTTTAAGAACAAAGAAGAGAAGCAAGGATGGGACACTGTTGTCAGCAGACCTTTGACTCGGGCTGTTAAAACTGCACATCTTAAAAGTGGTTGATTCTTGATCAGGTTGTTGGGTTTCCCATTTTGAGCAAATCCGACACACAGCCTGATTATCAGTGTGTTTGCATAGACACGTATAATTCGTTGGATCATATTAAGGCAGCGCTCTGATAACCCCGTAAAAATGTATCTACTGTATGTCATAATAGTCTTGTTTCAAAATCAACCTCGACCAAATGATGAATAACTGTCGTCTTTAGAGTTGCTGTCTTTGAATCCTACCTGTCACACTGTAAACAGGATGCTGACATGATTTGCGGTTGTGGTTCATCTTATTCGCACAGAGAACAAACACCACTTCAGTTAGCTTTTGTGTTTCACAGGTGGGATGATTCCTACAGAATACTCAAAACTATTTTCATCAATTCTAGGGGTTTTACATTTATCGAGTTATTTATGTGGATGCAAACAGACTGATTGCCACTTTTCTCTGACGTGCGCTGTTATAACAGCCCGACTGTTTTGACGCCTTTTGAACTTGAAATTGCTGATGAAAAGCCTCCGAAGATATGGGATAATGTCGAGGAATATTAGGTTAAATGCTGCAGTAACACTCGATGACATTGGATACTGTATTTAAATAATATTAATAATAGGCTATATTGTAATCAAAGACTCAGACACCTTGTATTATATGTTCTTATTTAATTTGTTAGAGTAATAAAGCATTTAGAATAAATCCTGGTGGTGTTTGACAGTAACTATTGTTGCACTCACACTTTGGTACAGGAACACTATAATTTAGTTTGTGGTACTGAAGTTCAGCACCAGCTTACATCTCATAGTAAACAAGGAACTGTTCATTCTTAAACAGGATTTTCATTACTACACACCTTCATTGCATTGAGTTGAAATGCAGATTTATTTTACTAGATGGAAAGTTACAGCAAAATCCGTAGAGGCTGTATTGGTTACAGCATAAAAAGGTTGTTATTGTTGTGTAATACTTATTGTCTTGGGTGACTAACAAAGGAGCATGTTCACACACCTTCTTAACAAGTCAAACCAGTGGTGCAGTCAAGCAGAAGTTGTTCAGACATACTCTGGTGTAAACACACGATGGGAAGCTTCACAGAAGTAACTCTGAAAGAATGCACAGACTTAAAAACTTCTATTTGTTTAAAAAAAACAAAAAAACAAAAGTAATAGGATTGCTACATTAGTTTAAAAAAGGGCAATTGACAGTAAAACAAACAAACCTAAAAAAAAAAACGAACTAGAATCACACTATTGACCACGATCAGCCCATGACAGGACATCCATGGTTGCTGGTTTCTATTACTGTTGGTTACTGGACCCACCAGGTTATTTTTCTGAACCCAAAGTGCTTGTTCAAAGGGAACTATTACATTTGTTGGGTTTTTCTCTATAATATAATATCATGAGATCTTTAACTTACTGCATAAATTGCCCTCAGATTACCTTGGTTATGAACTGGCGTTCTTTGAATACAACTGAATTGAATGTAAAAGACAGAATTTAGCATTAAATACTAATTGTAGATTAAATTCATAATCCATGTTTCCTCCAGTTATTGTTAAAGAAATATATGACTGTCTGGGTTCATTCAGCAATTACTTGCTTCATGAAATCATAGATTGCTTAGCATTTAAAAATGCAGGGGTCAAATGTCAAAAAAAAAAAACATTTAGGATTATAAATTGTATAAAGTTGCTCCTTTTGGACTTTTATAGGCCTTAACCTTGCAGGCTAGGATTAGATGCATTTTTGTAGGGTTAATCAATATAATTGTCCTTTCTTATGATCCTGAAGGATAAAATGCTAAAAGATTTCATTATATCCTTTATGAGCCAATCCAATCATTTTGAAACTAATCTTATATGATAGGCCCCGAAACCGAGTAGATCGGAGTTTTATTTTGAAATCCTAAACAATATTTTAGGCTAGAGCAGAATTAAAGCAGCCACTTGTTCTTCAAAAGGTCAAAAAGTAAAAAAACAAACAAACTGTGACACCTCTGACAGAGGGGGGGATGAATCAAAGCGTGGATGTTGCAATCTGGTTGTCAAATAAATGTAGTGAAGTAAAAAGAGCAATTTCTCTCTCAATTGTTGTGACTTTTACGAGAAAAAAAAAGCAATATACAGTAATTATGGTGTAGTAATACAATTACGTTGTTTTGAATATAAAAATAGATGATGAAAGTGTAATTCTGTGCTATGAATGAAGTCTGAACCCTTTTTGTTGCACACTGTGGTGCACCTGATCCTCCACAACAGCAGGTGGCAGGAAGTCTCCACACAGGACGACGACCGGAAATACGCACGACGAAGAAGAAGACCGAGCACAAACACGGAAGGCGCGCAGGAAAAGAGAGAGCAGGCAGAGCCGGTGAGTTTATTTGCAACTCAGAAACGAAAAAAAAAGCTTGATTGTGTACATTTTTAAAGAAAGCTGCTGTAAAATAAAACAGCAAATGACTCAACTCAGCCGTTAATTGACAAAATCTCCACGGTGTCGCACGTTAGCAAACAGAAATACACCGTTAGCTAGCATGTCAGTTTGGAAGATTAACTCCATGTCTTTGGTATAACATTAATTAAGTCGATATTGACATCCAGCCTCAATAGTTTTAGATTCAGTTAGCTATGGAGGTGTTGTTCCACAGACTTAAATGTGCTGTCATGGTCATGGTTGGCAGGTGTCTGTCAGATAGTTGTAGTAACTTAAAGATCATCTCCAGACATGTGCAAAGATATCCAAACACATTCTCTTTGGTTTGAATGTTAATTGATGTGTGGTGTTTTATCTCGAAAGAAAAGGTTAAATTTCGTGTTTAGAATTTTTTAAAATGACACCAACTCCTCTCTCATTGAAAGCATGTAAACATTTGTCATTTTAAAAGTTTATCGTGTGTCTCTCATGTTACCAAAGGATCATTCTGCAACCTAAACAGCCCCTCAATTCATTATAAGTCATACCTAAACTAAGGGTATATGATTCAGATTTTGCTGAAACTAGGACGTGATATGTTGTTTTTCTGCGACATATGTTGCAATATGACAACAAAATAAATAAATGGAATAATTCTGTTTGAAAATAATTAATCAATCTAGATTGATCAATAATAATAATAATACATTTTATTTATAAAGTGCTTTTCTGAATGCTCAAAGACACTGCACAGTGAATAAAAACAACAAGAAATAAAAATAACATGCAAAAAAAAACAACAGCAGAAAGCACATGCATTGAGTGCATTTAAAAACAATCATACTTTAAAAGCATTTTTGTAAAGGTGAGTTTTGGTGAGCGATTTGAAGGTGGACAGGTTCGGGCAGTTACCGATGTTTGGTGGTAAGGAGTTCCAGAGGGTGGGGGCGGCGACAGAGAAAGCTCTGCTAGTTAATGTTCATCCAGGATTCGAGTTCAGTCAGACAGTTAGTCAGGGTGGCGATGGTTGGGGCAGATATGGAATTTGTTGATATGTAAAGTTGGATGTCGTCAGCGTAGCAGTGGAAGCAGAGACCATGACGACAGATGATGTTGCCGATTGGGTGATTTTGTTGAGGAGTACATTTGCATAGAAACTACATATTTTCATAAACTGATGACAAAAAACAAGGACAACATTCTTTTAGTGCAACATGTTTGGAACCCTTTTTTAAAATGGTGTAACACTGGAAAAGGCATCCAGAATAATTCGACTCTATATTGCATGCAGGCCTGGCTTCATTATGCTGATTCAAATGGTCAAACAAATCAGCTGTGATGAATTTCATGGTGTGCAACAGTCGCAGGACACTGCTCACAGAGTAGCTGTTTTTGCATTTGTTTTTACAACCAAGTCTTCCTTTTCATCAGTTCCTAACTCATTTTTCTATACACATTTGGAGTCTGCATGTTAACAAACTCTTTTTTTCCCCCTCAAACTTTTTCTTCTTGTATAAAGCAACAAAAAATGTACTGTAATGTGTCATGTGTTAGAAATGTGGGATATTAATTGTTCTTACTTCATACTTTACTTCCTGTGATAATTGCACTTGCACATGTTGATGTTAAGACATTGCATTGTAGAGCCCTAATTCAAACAGTTCTAAAGAGGTTGTGTCGTCATTTTGAAGCGTGGAGTTTGCGGTGTTTCTTCATCGGTAATTGATGCTGCCATTAAAATTCTTACTGTGTAGACTTTGTACAACTATGAAATAGAAAGAATCTTCTGAAACCTCTTTGTAGGAACTGGTTGTCTCCTTGTGTAACCATGTAACTGTTGAGTTCATCCATGTATATATTGTAAGCTGAAGACTGTGTAACCACCATTACTCTCTGTGTCCAGAAACATGTCACGACAGATGGGAGACAGCCATCGAAGGTTTCTACAAACCATGATGGCCAATGGCATCATTGATGAGCAGGGGGCGAAGACGCTCCATCAGCATTGTTGTCAAACACACAATGGTGAGTCCCGTTTTCCGATTATTTTTATATTTGAAGTTCAGCAGGCTGTTGACACTGTGTTTTATGTACACAATATATACTGTGAATTTATATCACCCATAATTCTTATCATCTAGTGAATACATCAAGCTCATCATCCCCAATACTTCTACTATTTTTGGCTGTAACTCCTTTCGCTTTGCAGCAGCTAACGACTAGAACACCTTACAAAACACTCTCAAACATGCAACTCTGACTCCACTCGCCAGCTTCAAGCTTAAAATCCAACAGATTGTAGTTGACTGTTGCTTCCGCCAGATTTTACTTACATGCTTATATACACACACACTTTCTTACACCTCATGCACATTGTTTTTCACTCACATGCATATGCCCCCATGCTTCTTACTTGTTTACTTTTGTTCTATGTTATGTTTATTTGTCTATTTGTGTCTGTAATTTACATATGTTTTTGTTCCTGCTGGCGCCTGTTGGCCAGGTCATGTTTGCAAATGAGAACTGGTTCTCAAACATTTTTATCTGGTAAAATAAAGATCAGATAAAAATAAAAATATAATTTGCTCACTTCATGAACACAAATTTAATGCCAGGAATATGTATGTTTATTTTATTGGTTCCAAATATGTTGATTTAATTAGTCTCAATTTTAAACCCCACAGTGAAGCATTTTTAAATTCATGGTGAAAAGCAGATGAAATAAAAACAAAATCCTAGTCGGTGAAGTCAGGCATTTTTCCATATCTTACTGTACACTTTAATATGCCTGAATTGCATGTCCTATTTTTCTGCTTAAAGGAAACATTACTACCAAACTAACTATAGCAAAACTATATTTACATCCAAAACCAAAGATGCACGTTGCTTTCCAATTTTGAGATTAACTTGTCTTCAATGAGATCAATAGTGGCACAAAAAAGGGGCAAATATGAGAAGGAAGTTTCCCTAAGATTAACAAACCTGGTTGTGTTTGTCATTTTTGCAGCACAGTATGCACCAGACAGACTGGATGATTTCATTGATACCATCAACTCCAAGCTGCAGCCGATGTTCATGCAGATTAGAAAAGGGATGTCTGAAGACAATGGTCACCAGTACTACGCCTTGGTAAGCGACTTTAACTCCAGCATCAGGTCGGCAGTGTCAGGCCTGTTTCTTAATTAGTGATTCTGTCTGGGGACTTTATTAACAACGACACTGTTAAATGCGGTTTCACTTTAACCCCACCCAGGTCAACATGGTTGAAAACGATGTCACCAGGATGACGTCAGATTATGCTGACAATGAACTGGAGCTGTTCCGGAAAATGGTGAGTAAAATTAACAGAAAGAAAATGTTGAAGACAGCTGTACCAGATGTTTTTTTACAGGACAGTTTCTACATGTGTGTTTAAAGGTCACTTCTAATCCATATATATGGGATATCAGTTGTGGATTACCACAGACCGATGAGGGTTTTTCTATGACTCTCAGTGTGCGAGGTGCAGTACTTGATTACTTCACAATCTCTGCTTGTGAAGGAGTGAGAACTGCTTTTAAACAGCATGCAGTGGCACAGTGTTGAACGTCTTCAAAATCTGTTATTTAAAACTACAAAGTGTGCTGTGAATAATTACAGCTCTTTGAATTCAGATGGACCTGATTGTCGGCTCTGAGGATGGCAAACTCTCCTCCATTGATATTCTGAACAGCGCCGACTCCATGACCACCAAAAAGCTGAAGAAGAGTGAAGTAGAGCACCTCTTGAACCGACTGGTGCAGGACAAATGGCTCAGTGAGGTAAATCACAGTGTCTCCACCGAGAATTCACAATTACAGTTAATTTGTATGCATTATCTGGATCAGAGCAATTTTAATAATTTCACTCACATCTTCAGAGATGTAGAGCAATATGAACTCAGGGTATCTTACAAAATAGACAGTTTCTCTAAGTAAACATGGATGGTTCTGTAATTAACAGTTTGTGTTAACCATGGATCAGGCACACTATTATTTATTAGGTGGGATTCAATAAAGCACAGAACAACTCCTGGTCCTTGCTGGAAAATAGATATCTGCAGCAGGAAAAAGTCACCCGATTCAATGGGGTGAAAGATTTAAAATGCTGGTTGAGATCATGAGAAATATTAAGTATTAACAACACACTTGTTAAAATGGTAGCACTTTGCAGAATGTGAAACAAGTCAACACAATCATGAGACTACATTTTCAGTCTCAATTTCATTTTCAATTTAAAGCAGTTTGTATTACACTCACAAGTGTAGTGACCAGATAAAAACTGGAGCAGTGTCTCTCTTTCTTTCTCCCACTTCGTTGATGTGTTTCGTGCGTAACTGGGTGCTGTTTATTAACTTAGAAACGGGGTGAATACACCTTGTCCACCAGATGTATCATCGAGATGGAGCCATATATTCGCACAATGTATCAAGACCAGGTGAAAGTTTGTCACATCTGTCACGCCATCGCTTTCCAGGTAAATGTTACTTCTTTTTTTTTCTGTTTCACAACGGCTTTGTAGTAGCTCCCTTTTACGTGTCGGATAAATACAGTCGTGACTCGATAATCCGACACTAAATGTAAAACCGTCTTTCATGTCAGATAGCAAGGCTGTCGGATTGTCAAGACAGAGGTTGAGATACAAGGAGGGATGGATGCTTGAAGGGTCATTTGTTGGTAATATTCATTGTTTATAGTTGTTATAATAACTAGTTTATTGTTAGAACACTATGCATGGCTGGATTTCTAATTGACCCGTGCGCTTGTGCACGGGCCCATCGGTTGACATCAAAGGTAAATACGTTCAGACAGCAGGCTGAAGTGATCCAAATCAGATTTTTTTTCCCTCCTATGCGACCTGTATCTGGTCTTTTCATGACAGTCTGAACAACACAGATCCAATTAATGATGAATACCCAAATATTTGGCGCAGTCAGGGGGGACACTTCCACCCCGGGGGAGCACTCTGACAGAGTGAAAGTGGGCGGAACGCACAGGCAGTATTTGGCTGCTGATGCTAGTTTAGTTAGCGGTCACACTTCTGTTTCCACCATCAGTGGCGGTGGGGGAGTGGCAAAAACACTCCACCGTTACCATCCGTGTTTACTTCTGCAAACACTGAACATGCTCGCTGCGTGTGACGTTGTTGTGTCCTCCTCTGCACATGTGGGACACTTTTGGGTCGTATGAAGTTCACACAGCAGATCGCATTTAATTGGAAATGTGAACGAAATCACAAAAAATTGAATTTCACAAAAAAATCAGAATTGAGCATTAAGTCCTGCAGTCTGAATGTAGCCAATCTGTCTGATTGTTCAGTCAGAAAATACGCTGTTATCCTTATTTGTGACATAAAATGTCATGTTGGAGTCAGAATCCAAGGCTGTCGGTATGTGAAGGCTATTTTGAATGGGTTCCGTTCGTTTTTCCTAAAAACCTGTCGGATAGCAAGGTTTTCAGATTGTTAAGGGTCAGATTATCAAGTCACGACTGTACCTGAATAAATTCAAACACTAATTTTATCAAATCTCTATCATAGAAAGTAGAAATGTCATGTCACTATAGTTATAAAACTACATTCGTTTTTATAATTTAAAGGCTTTTACATCATACATTTTAGATTTGGTTATAAAAGTTTGAATCATGTCTTTACACATCTGAGCAGTGAAAGTACTTCTGAGTTTTGTTTAAAGAACCAACTTGCTCTTAACTAACTACACAAATAAAAACTCGCTTTAATTACTCTGATTTTATATGTTGCTGCAGTAAAACCAGATGCAGTAAGCGATGCTGATGTGTTGTGGTGCTTTTTTCTGCCAGATTCCGTTCGGTTGAGTTTTTTCACAGCTTATGAAATGTTGTTTTTAGTAGGATTGTGTGACAAAGTTTATTTATCGCTGGCTCACAGTGTTATCTCATCTGAATAACTGTTTGTTTTCAGTGCCAGATTTGTGAGAATCCTACATGTGGCATTAAAATCCACAACCCATGTGTGGCCAGATACTTCAAAGGAAGAACGGAGCCGCGATGTCCAGCTTGTGAAGATTTTTGGCCACATGAAATTCCTGGTATTTATACTTCTTTTATAGAGGCTGTTTGTGCACATTTTACCGCTTTCAAAAATCAGATAGTCCTGTTTTGTTTTTGTTTTTTTGCCGCAGATGTCGCTTTGCACGTTTTGCTTTGCTTTGGAAATGACTGATGCATTATATTGATCTGCTACTGGAACTCTGAGAATGATAGAGATGGAGATGAGTGCCGAAAAGAAGATGTTGGCTACCATTAACAATATTCTCTTTTGAACTTCATTTTAATGTATATGTGAATGGAAAGTAAGTAGAAGAAGAAAATCCACGTAATGCACATACATTTATCATGTCCTATGTTCTGTTTGTTACAGAAGTCAGACGGCTGCGTTCTCAGTGAAGGACATGATGGCTTGAGCATCAACTGTGTTTTCTGTTTGTAAAAAGTTGTAATTATTTTATTAACCCAAGTTTGTAATAAACAAAGTTGTTATTTAAGTGTTATATCGGTATTGGTTACATAAAATAAAATGGATTACATTTCATCAATGTCTCTATTGTGTCTATTTACACACATTCATCATGAAAAAAACAATTTCTTATCAAGCTCATTTTGCAAATGTTATGTCTCCATACATGTTCTTTCCTTCCTTCACATAGTTTTCTTTTACGTGCCACTTAAGGTTCAGTTATCAAGAACTTAATAATCGCTTTCCAACAACATAGAAATCAAATATTAATGTAAAAACCGTTTTAAATGTTTTACCAAAGCATGAACGCCTCTAGTTTTACCTATAAAGATGAGGGTGGTTTGAACAATCATTTTGCTGAATAAGTGCATGCATATGTCACTCTGAACTGCTCATATAGAAATGAAATTAGTTTGGACTAAAAAAAAAAAAAAAAGATCCAAAACTCACAATCAGAAAGAATATTTCAAACTGTTTTCCTTTAAACTCAACTACTCAGATAATTTCTAATTCCCTATATTGCTGCAAACACGTCCTAGAAAATCATTGTACAATTGTGACAAAAACATAAATCAAGCCTGAACCACTGAGCATAAAATCACCTTTAAATACAGTAAGAATTAAATGTATTTATGTATATTGTCAAGATATTGTTTTTTTTTTCTTGCAAAAACTCAGAACTTCCTATATTATACCAGCAGTAAACATTTAACTGATAATCACAGTTTCCTTAAAGCCCAGGGTGTCTTTTTTTGTCTCTTTAACAAACAGTTTAGAGCTGAAAGATACTGAGATTATTATAATTTAATGAGAAAATGAATAAAAGCAGCAAACTTTCACATTTAAGAAAGCATCAAATGTTTGACCTTTTCATAAATGGCCTACATGTTAAATTGATTATGAAGATGCAAATCAGTTTTCTGGAGATCGACTTAACAGCTCTGGATTAAATGTTTGCTGACTAACATGCTGGTTAAAGACAGTGGTACAAATGAAATAATACTTTTATGTGAAATCCCAGTTAATCTGTCCACCATACAGTGGATATAAAAAGCCTACACACCCCGGTTCAAATGCCAGGTTTTTGTAATGTAAAAAAATGACAGTAAGACAAATAATTTCACAATTTTTTCCACCTGTAATGTGACCTATAACCTGTACAATGCAATTGAAAAACAAACTGAAACCTTTAAAGGGGAAAAATATAAAATAAAAAACGAAAAAGAACCTGGTTGCATAAATATGCACACCCTTAAACTAATACTTTGTTGCAGCACCTTTGGCTTTTATTACAGCACTCAGTCTTTTTGGGTAGGAGCCTATCAGCGTGGCACATCTTGATGTGGCAATATTTGCCCACTCTTCTTTGCAAAATCGAAATCTGACAGATTGCGAGGGCATCTCCTGTGCACAGCCCTCCTCAGATCACCCCACAGATGTTCGATGGGATTCAGGTCTGGTCTCTGGCCGGGCCATTCCAAAGCCTCAATCTTATTCCAGTGAACCCATTCTTTGGTTGATTTAGATGTGTGCTTTGGGTCATTGTCGTGCTAAAAGATGAAGCTCCTCTTCATCTTCAGCTTTCTAACAGAAGGCCGAAGCTTTTGTGCCAACACTGACTGGTATTTGGAACTGTTCATAATTCCCTCCACCCTGACTAAGGCCCCAGTTCCAGCTGAAGAGAAACAGCCCCAAAGCATGATGCTGCCACCACCATGCTTCACTGTAGGTATGGTGTTCTTTTGGTGATGAGCAGTGTTGTTTTTGCGCCAAATATACCTCTCGGAATTATGTCCAAAAAGTTCAACCTTGGTTTCATCAGACCATAACACATTTTCCCACATGCGTTTGGGAGATTTCAGATGTCTTTTTGCAAAATTAAGCCAGGCTTCGATGTTTTTCTTTGTAAGATAAGGCTTCCGTCTTGCCACCCTACCCCATAGCCCAGACAAATGAAGAAGACGGGAGATTGTTGTCACATGTACAACACAGCCAGTACTTGCCAGAAATTCCTGCAGCTCCTTCAGTGTTGCTGTCGGCCTCTTGGCAGCCTCCCTGACCAGTTTTCTTCTCGTCTTATCATCAATTTTGGAAGGACGTCCTGTTCTTGGTAATGTCACTGTTGTGCCACTTGATAATGATGATGGTCTTCACTGTGTTCCATGGTATATTTAATTCCTTGGAAATTCTTTTGTAGCCTTCACCTGACTGATATCTTTGAATAATGAGATCCCTCTGATGCTTTGGAAGCTCTCTGCGGACCATGGCTTGTGCTGGAAGATGTGGCTACAAAAATGTCAGCAAAAGCCTACTGGAACAGCTGAACTTTATTTGGGGTTAATCAGAGGCACTTTATTTGATGACAGGTGTGTGCTGACTCCAATTTAACATGAGTTTGAATATAATTGGTTAAATCTGAACACAGCCACATCCCCAGTTATAAAAGGGTGTGCACACTTATGCAACCACATTATCTCAGTTGTTTATTTTTACTTTACCTCCCTGAAAGATTTCTGTTTGTTTTTCAATTGCGTTGTGCAGGTTATAGGTCACATTAAAGGTGGAAACTGTTGTGAAATTATTTATCTTGATGTAATTTTTTTACATGAGAAAAACCTGGCATTTGAACAGGGGTGTGTAGACTTTTTATATCCACTGTATATGATCAGTAACAGTTTCATTTTTTTACATTCTGTCATGCTTATTGACTTTAAAGTGTTTTTGCTTGGGAGGAGTCCTTCTCCAGTATCTTCAGGGTGACTGTGTACCAGATGGCTTTTCTAAACCACGGATAGAAAAAGGCATATATCAGAGGATTTAGACAAGAATTGAAATACACCAACCAGGACACAATGGCCCAGGACGAAGCACTGTTTGAGATGTCTTGTCCTGCCAGAGAGGGATAGTAGTAAGGACAGAAACTCATCAGAAACACTAATATCACAACACCTAGAGTCCTGGCTGCCTTTTTCTCTGATTTCCTAGCAGTGATTGTTAGCGTACCGACTCCAACAGTTGTAACGTGAGACTGTATGGCACGAGCCTGAGACACGGCCACAACAAACACCCTCATGTACAGGATGACGATGACTGAGCAGGGGCAGATAAATGTGAAAACAAGGTCAACAGTGCCCGAGACATAGTCAATCACCACCAAACACTTCCCGTAGCAGGAGTTGTATCTGTCCGGCTGCCTGAGGTGGTCCTTTAAGATCAGCCCGTTGTAGAGAAGTGAACAGGCCCAGCACAGGCTCACGGACACCTCCGCCCTGCTGCGAGTGATTCTGCTGGGGTACTGCAGAGGATAACAAATAGCTACAAAGCGATCGATCGATATGAGCACCATGTTCCCCACGGAGGCCGACGCTTAGAGACAGACAACCAAGCACACTCACATTCACACCTACGGACAATTTAGAATCACCAATTAACCTCAACATGTTTTTGGACCTTGTGGGAGGAAGCCGGAGAACCCGGAGAGAACCCACGCTGCACGGGGAGAACATGCAAACTCCACGCAGAAAGATCCCAGGTGTCCTCACTTTGAATTAAGTTTTAAAAAATATTAAATGTATTAATTTATTCAGGTAACGCTTTTAAATGAATGATAACCAATTAAACAGTTCAAACACATTTCTGTGAATTTAAACCTTTTCTAAACACAACAATAGACATGAACTTTTTCTCTAAGTCAGAAAAGACCATTTATATGCTGCGTCTTGATTCAGTGTCATGGTTTCATTGGACAACCATGATATGCAAGACTTAGCCTACAAGGTGGAAATAATCAATCCGTTATCTGCAGACTCATTTTCAAATGAAGAAATATAAACAGGTGGTGTCACAAGTTTTTTTTTGCCAGATATTATACCTGGCAGAATTAGACTTGAGTCCTATGTTAGAAGGTTCTTACCACTGATCTGGTGCTGATGACCCAGTTGGGCATCACACTGCAGATCTGCTCAGTGTTTGAACTGCTGTAGCTCATTCTGTTTGATTTATCAGCGCTTCAAAACCAAACCTGCACTTGAAACCATTCCGTTGTTGGTCTTCTACTTATTCTACTGAGGTGGTTATGTGCCTCATCAGGCACTAGATGGCCCCGTTGGTAAAGCCTCTGACACTCTGGCTCTCAACTGGTTGATTAGCTCACAATTTATTGTACTTTCCTCCTGGAGGCTTTGAAACCTGCATGTTTTTGCTGTAAGAACACAAAATGCGACTTGTATGAACAAGCAGTTTTATCCTTTGTATGTTTGGGTATTATTGGTTGCATTATGTGCTTTTTGTTTGTTTGTTTTTGCTCCATCCAGATTACCTTTATATGTTAAACGCAGCGGCCTGTCCTCGATGTAGCTGATAATAGCTGCTGCTCACATCATGAGGAGAATACAGACAGGGAGAGGAGAGCAAATCAATAAAAACTATTGGTTTAATTCAATATAAATATCTTGTTACTGTCTGTTTTTTTAAGTGTGAATATAGAGACAACTGAAATTAAATTCCTTAAAATGAATCCAAACTACTTTTCTGTTAAATCATTCAAATTAAACATGATTTGGTGCTTCACAAAAATGTAGAAATAACACGGAAACTCTAACACTGTAGCAGTAGGTTACATGATCTGTGCTAATATATCAAATGTTCTAAATGTTTTCTCTCTCTTTTTTTTTTCTTCCCCTCACCATATATTTGATATTTCAGCCGTTTCACTGATGCTCCTATTCATAGCTGTGTGTTGGCTGCTACAAAAGCCCCAAATCTCCCTCCAAAAATAACAAGCAGCCTGAAGTAAGAACAGCAACAGCGAAGCAAAAACCACGGCCTTGGTTTTCTTTTAATATCGGTGTTGCTTTACTGTAGGACGAGAAGCAGCAGCTGAGGAGGAAACAGAATTAAACTGAGAGAGAGAGAGAGAGAGATGAGCTATTTATAGAGAGCAAGGACAGGTTAAATGGTTCTGTGGAAAGAGGGCGACGTTTGTTTAGAAGGTGAGTTTTCAGCGGAGGAGGACGGATATGAGCAGTCGGTACAGGGATCACTGTGTGAAGGACTCCATCGATCCTGCTGAACCTGTGTTGAATGCACACTTAGTTTTTCCACGTTGGATACCGATAAGACAGTGTGTTTGGTTCATGTACTGTACAGTTCACTGACAATCTTGCCTGGAAATTAGGCTCTCAGTTTACATTCATATTTACTTTTGTTTGCCATTTCTACACTGTTTAGTTATTTTAAAATAAAATATAAGTGTTCTAAGGACACACACTGGCCACTTTGTTCCTCACGCTGATATTACATTCAGTGGATCAGCTTGCTTTCACAAAAATGCCCAATTATGTGCATTAAAAATAAATATGTGACGTCTACTGCATTGTTCGAGGACAGCCTCAACCAGACCACTTATTCTAAACTGAGCTAAGATGTTAATCAAATAGTGTCCTCATGTTAATTGAACATAAATGCTGTCTTGTGGCATTTTATATTGCTGTCACTTTTTATTTCTTCTTTTAATGCAGATTTAATGGCTGTGAGAAACTATGGGAGACGCACTGTGCAGCACTGCTCTCGTAATGTTTATAGTGAATAGCAGCGTCCATTCTGTTTTTAAACCACATCGGCCCCGATACACAAAGAAAATGACTCAAAAGTTTTAAGTGCTCAGAAGAATGACATCATATTTACTATACATCTGACTCTATTTTATAAATTGTGATAAGTTTTCTCATTTTACTTTTCTATATCTATTTATTTCCTGTATCTAGTATTAGCTCAAAATCTTTTATAATGTTTGAACAGTAAAAGTAATTTAGTAATCAAATTTGCCCCTTTTAATTTTTTTTTTTTAAATAAAACTCTTTATTCCCTTTTGATATGTTTCCTTTGATGTCCAAATGTCACATCAGTTTGTCAGTTGGAGCCTCTTTAATGCAAAATATTTCTGGTGCTTTTGGGGAACTATAGAAACGGATTGTTTCTTTTCATTAGTACTTTCCAGAGATTTTTTTTTTTTTACTTTGAAAGCTGAAGAAAGTAGTAAAAGGTCATTAAATTACCATCAATAGAATTGGTTTTGTGAGTGGTTAGACTGTAAATTACAGATTTATTTGTTTATTAACACTTTTTTTTAACATATCACACAAATATGGAAACATTCTAATCACAATATAATGCTGTTATCATGATCATACCATACAAAAATAATATATTTAATAAATGCAGAACATACATTTTGTTATAGCTGTGCAGTTTCTCAAAGTTTGGAAACATATTTTAGGATATTTATTGTGTTTAACTGTTAAAAGTAGATTTTTTTTTAAGAGTGAACAACTGAATGAAATATAACATTTTTAAGAAAGCGCTTATAAAACAAATTAAAAGTCGTCAGCCTGTTAGAGAGGTTTATACGCACACAGACACACATCAGTAGAGAAGTGCATGCCTACGCACATTAACACGCCTGGTTTGACAGGTTAGTTCTTCCATACACTGCGGCCTAATTGATTCTCATTTTAATTATGCTGACCCAGACTCCGTCTCTCTTCTTCACTGACAACAAAACCAGCGCAGGGCGGCAGTCTGCCTCTCACACTGTGAGGATGACACCTCCGTCTCCTTACAGAGCAGCGAGTCGAGGATCCACTTTGATGTCACTCCCCCTCAAAGGAAAGGTCAAAATAATAAATGTAGGCCCAATTGATGGGTTGGCAGGGGGGCTGTGGGGGTACAGCGCTGATTTTTGGACCAGTGCTCCCCTAAAGGCGTAATGAATTCATACAGTCAGGCACGGCCAAAGAGGAAAACAGCGTGAGTCCTCTTTCCATGAAAAGGTTGATCTAAATCTGCAGACAAGCCTGGCTCCTTCTTCCCACTCCTTCACCAACACATCACTCTTCTTTCTCTCAGGCACCGGCTCACAATGTGCGAGTAAATCCTTAACAAATATACTTCTTTTGCTTCTTTTTGACACAAAACTTGTTCACCTTCTCTGAACCAGATGCCCGTTTCATTAAAAAAAAGCCCTCAGTAGGATGCTCTACTCTTTCTCACAGCAAGACACCTTTGATTCATGAGTAAATAACCCAAATGCTAAAATATGTCTTTGAAGACTCCTCAGGTCACCCAGGTCATGTGATATGTGTTACTGGGTCAAAGGCAACACCATCAGCACTCACCATGATCATTGCAAACCCTTGTTTTGCAGCCCGAGAACTTTCTTTTAAATCCTAATGAATATTTTAATCCTTGCGAAGAAGCAAAATAGTTCAGTGTGTAGAAATAACACACTTCTAGGATTCAGTTTTTGTTGTCATATGCAGCAAGTTATGATGACTGCAATGAAATTCATTCTGTTGTTGTGATTCACCTGCTTACAAGACAAACATGCTTTACATGAAAACAGATAACCTCAGTGTGAAAACTCTCGATTAATAATACTAGTGTGGAAAACAAAATCAGCAAAATGTACTAAAAATGCTTATTTAGAATGACTCCTTAAAAGATGAACATCCCAAACACACTCATGTGAATTCAGATGTTAATATGAATTACTTTACACTGTTGGAAGTCTTATATAAATATGTAGTCTTATTATTTAAGTTAATCATATTTTTTGAATGAAAATCTACAAAGTCAACAATGCTTCACAAGCTCCAACATGTAGGCTAGTAAATGTAATAAAGTACACATTCAGTAGGCAAAATAAGAATCTTACACGTGAAATATGCCGTATTTAACACTGTCTGAAAAGTGATGCTTTGAAATTCTGTGTTGGCTGAAATGTGGAGCCACTATCTTCTTGCATCCATACTTTGAAATACACTCAACATTTTAGATTTAAGGGTTTTAATTATATCCTCGTAGACAAATACAGCTCCAACAGGCAGATGCTGATACAGATGTAACACCGTTGTAATAAGATATGTCTTCACTTGAGAAATGGTAAATGCTGGTAAATACTGTGTATTAATAAACATTTACACTTCCCATTTAAAAGCATTTGTTAAATGTATGTATACTGATTATAAATGCTGAATGAGGGAATTAAACTAGAATCAAACATGGTGAAGTGAATGTAGTGTAGCCTACACTGTAAAAATAGTTCCATGAAAAACTGTGACATCTGGATGCAAGGTTGCCAGGAAACATCAGGTAATAAAACTGTATAAAAGAATAATTTATTATTTGTAGAAATACAGATTTTTATTGTGGACATTTTTTTTTTTACAGTTTTGACCTTTTCTGATTGTTTAGTTTTTTTTACAGTCAAAGTGTAAATGAATACATTTGTTCTGTAATTTTACTAGATATCAGAAATTTGGCAAAACAGGGAAAATCTATAACATAAGAGCCAGCAAATTATTTAGAATTAAAAAGTCTTTAATATACATAGTTTTAAAAAAAAACATCTGTAAAATTATATTTTAAGCAAATTTAAATAATTTTATAGTCACACATTGTTAAAGAACAAAACTATTTGTAAAATTACCGATTTTTTAAATTGGAGATCATTTACAGTTTGGACTTTTTTTTTCACAGTCAACATGTAAGTTAGTGTTTGTTTTTTTTTCTTTTTTTCTGCAAAATATACGTTTTTTTTTTTTTTTTTTTAAAAGCCAGATCTTTAATAATCAGAGTTATTCTTTTAAATATTGGCAAATATCTGTCAAACTGTAATTTAACAGTCACATGCTGAAGGAACAAATGAGTATTTGTGGAAGTATAGATCATTTATATGGATGTTACTTACAGTTTTGGCTTTTTATTTCTATTTTATTTTATTTACTGTCAGTGTGTGACATTCTAGATATTAAATACAAAATAGTGAAAATTCTTAAAATTGGAGCAAAAAAAACCTTTTTTTTAAGATACATTTTTTAAAATATTTTTTTAGATGATGGCCAAAATCTGCAAAATAATTACATTTTGAGTAGATTTTGTTTATTTATTTATTTATTTATTTTAACTGTGAAATGGTGCAATTTTATGGGCAGGCACTGTGAAAGAACAAGTTATTTTGGTAAAATTACACTATTTACAGTTTTGCTAATTTATTTATTTTTTTGATGTTGTTTTTACAGTTGACATGAAAATTATTGCAGATTATATTGTTTGCAATAAAACAAGGGAACTCTGAAAAAAATGTACGAGTTGTTTAATAAATTACAGTTTAAAGAAAAACATTTTTACAGTGTAGTAAATGTGGCATTTTCATGTTAAACGTAGAAGCAGCAGTGAAGACAAACAGTCCAGTCAACACCTCAGTGTGCGCTCAAGTGCACAACTTGAATGAATGCACTTCAACCTGGAGAGTAATTCAGAGGAAATAAAGCCTCTTTGTGTTTGTTTCAAGGCCACGTATAAAACGCAGATATGATTATTTGCCCACACAGACGCAATTTCCTGACGAGCCTCCGTCACCGAGCCGCGCGTTCACACCGAGCTGCCGGATGCTGCCGGAGCCGCTCCAGCCTCGATTACATGCGCAGTCCTGCCGTGAATCACACATCACCACGGTAACCGGCGCGCACACCGAGTCCCCTCAGTCAGCATCGGCGAGATCCGAGTGCATCTACAGGAGGAAGCACAGTAAGTTTTTATTCCCCCCTTCTTTTTTTCCCCTGCATGTACACATCTGTAGGTGCTCTAGTGTGTGTGTGTGTGTGTGTGTGTGTGTGTGTGTGTGTGTGTGTGTGGCATGTGATTGCGGCTGATGCGAGTGTGTGCGGCTGCAGATTGTGTCGCTGCTGAGAGACTCAATCAGGTGATTTAGTGCAGGTTGCTTAATTCATGCTTTTTTTCCTTTAGGGGAACGAAGGGACACGCATCAAACCTTGATCCCAGTGTTAGATGGGACTCAGCTGCGTTATGTAAGAGGCTGCAATTAAATACGCATCTTTAGATTGTCTTCATGGCTTGTGGGCTTTAATTAACTCTGCAACTCAATAAAAAAAAAAAAAAAAAACGAGCCTAATCATGTTGGAAATGTGCATTCTTTCCAGTGAAGGTTATATAAGTTTGCCAGAATGGACTGAAATAATAATTTACAGCCATAATTGCAGAGTTTCTCTCAGATGTTTTTGGTTACACACCCTGTACAGTATATCTTGTCGCAGTAGTCTTCAATGCAGCAAGTTCAGATATGCATGAGCAGTGAACCCTGAAGAACTTGACAGACACAGGTAGCAAACACTCTGCTCTTCGCTATTCATAGCACAGCACGCGTTCACCTTTAGAAAGCTCTCCCCCGTCTTCTCATGTATGTCAGATTTTGGTAGCTAAAGATCATTGATGTTCTTGTACAGTAGCTAAAATGGAAGTAAACATGCTATGGGTGTTCATTTAGGAGATATTTGCAGCTCTTTTATTCGTTGGATGCGTTTCCAGTCCAGAGTGTGGGAACACCGAGTGTTTGACAGCCACGCTTGACTCATTTGTTAATCACAGATCCAGGATGATTCATCGTACCCACACTTCACTCCAAGTGTGGGGAGGAAAAATGGTGGTCAGCACAGATGACCACTCTAACCACCCACTCATCGACAACTATGTGTGGCAGTCTCGAGCAACATATTCCCTCCAGATCATTTCTTTTCCCAAACAAAAAATGCGTAACGTCAGAGTTGTGCCGAGAGCGGGCTGCAGAGTTGATAACATAAAATCATCAATATTCTGTTTGTTCACAGTTGGTGTATCTGGAGGGTTTAGTAAGTGATCCTCCGTTATCAAGCCGCGGTTCCCGGACACGAGGGATTTCTCCCATAAAAGCCTAAAAACCAGCTCTTTGCCTCCTGGTGTGTGTATCATCATTGTGAGTCGGTGGCGTCAGTGGGGTCCTTGGCTTGGGGGAAGGTGTTGTGTTGCACTGCGTGAATGAGATAAGTGGCTCCTCACCTCTTCCCTCCACATTTAGATCATTACTTAATCCAGGAGAGAAAATCGAATCATCATCAGAGCAGAGGAGCGTTCGGTAGTTTTAGACGTCGATCCTAAACATTAAAGATAAGAGATTTGGAAGACGAGATCGGCCTGATATGGATCTGAGATGAATCACGCACCGGAGTTATGAAACATGTTTGTTCTAGACTGCTGGGTTGGATAAACAGGAAGACAACAGGCGTCTGTGTTTTCTAAATGTGTCCCCAAGCTACGTAACTATAATTACCAGAGACTCTGTGAATTATTCACTCGATAATTATCCGAGGAATAGTCTGAAATTGCTTTCTTGCCGAGAGATGAAAAGATGGCACTGCTGTCATACCTGCACTATCAAAATGTAGCTGTAGCCAGCAGCTACTTAGCTTAGCATTAAAGATTGGAAACAGGTGGAAACAGGCAGTCTTGCCCTTTTCAAGGGCAACAAAATCTGCTAACCAGCAACTCACACGACACAAATTTGCCACAACATTGAAACCACCTGCGAAGGCCACCTTTGCACCACTAAAACAGTTTAGACGCATTGGGGCAGGGACATGGGACCTTTAGCAGCAGATGTTTTAGGCCCTGGGGATTGCAAAGTGGGACCTATGTGGATCAGACTGGTTAGGGGACATACCTTGAATGGTCAATCAGATTGGGATCTGAGGAGCTCGGAGGCTGGTTAAACACTCTTAGCTCTTGGTCATGTTCCTTGAGCCCTTCTTTTAAAGTTTTTGCCATGTGGTAGGGTGTATTGTTCTGCTGAGCTATTGCCATTGGAGATGTGCTTAGGATTTGCTTGGTGTGCTAGGTTCCCCAGCAGAACATTGCATTGTAACGAAGTGGTCAATGATATTCTTTTCACCTGTCAGAAGTTTTAGTACAGTGCTGCCCACTTAATGTCATACCCCTTGATAGAATATCCTGTCATGGTCATGGTCAGCCGATCGTTGAGCCTCACAGGCCGAGCGTCGGTCATACGTGGCAGACTATCACACCTCGGTCAGCTGTGGAAAGCAACATGTTTGTTTGTCAATTACCTGCTCACCTGAGATCTCCTTCACTGAGTTATTCACACACTGTCTGACATTAATTAGGGCACATCGAAGAGAATCACATTGTTGCAGAGCATGTCGTCATTTATAATTGAACTGTTCAGCTAGTTAATCATGGTAAGTTAATCCTCTGTATACCCTCTGATTAAAGGAAATAACTTTTATTGATGGGGTGGCTTTTCGTACCGACAAAAGCGAAATTTCACTGAAGCAAAACCTTAAAGCTCAGTTTGAATAAACATTTCTTGATCTTCAAAGAAACTGTCCTTCGGTCTTGTGAAAACATTCCCATTTTGGCTTTTTAAACCCCCGTTTCTCGTCACATAGCCACAATTTTCTGAGTGCTCTATCATTGCAGACACTTCGATACGCTAATCTTGAAGCCTGCTTATTGGAATATCCCGAATATAGTCATAATTCCATCCTGGACCGAGGTTATAATAATAAACGGACAGCACTGTATTCTCTTCAATTTGTACAAAAGTGTGCTTCCTCACATTAAACACAAACTGCAGCCTGATGGGAGTCTCATTAGTTCACATGTATTTGGTCATAAACTCAAGTGTGATGTGATGACCTGGTGATGGCAGGAGATGAAAGTCATTAGAATTCATCCTGAAGGGGAAATTAACACTAGACTTGATGGCAATGCATACAAGAGTTCCATCCATCCATTATCTATACACCGCTTAGTCCTCACTAAGGTCGCGGGGAGGCTGGAGTCTATCCCAGCTGACTCAGGGTGAAGACAGGGGACACCCTGGACAGGTCACCAGTCTATCACAGGGCCACACTTAGAGACAGACAACCAAGCACACTCACATTCACACCTACGGACAATTTAGAATCACCAATTAACCTCAACATGTTTTTGGACCTTATGGGAGGAAGCCGGAGAATCCACGCTGCACGGGGAGAACATGCAAACTCCATGCAGAAAGATCACAGATATCCTCACCAGGACGCAAACCGGCGACCTTCTTGCTGTGAGGCAACAGTGCTAACCACCGATCCACCTTGCAGCCCTGCATTCAAGAGTTTTGAGACATTTTACAAAAAATATGCCCAAGGAAAAGTCAGAGGATTATCAAAGTCTGTAGGTTTCGCTCTGTTTGCATATAACTCCATAGCACTCAGCGGAGTGGCTGTTGAGATGTCTGTGTGTGATCAAAGTGGTAGACTGACAGACTTGTCCTTATCTACATCCATGCTGCTAGCAAAAGTACTTTTTTCTTGTTTTCTTCTTCTGGTGTTGTTTGTTTTGCTTTTGTTGTGTCCTGTTTGTCCTCGTATCTTTGCAGGATCCTCGAGCAGCACTGTCACATTTGATTACAAAAACACACTGACTGAGTCGGTCTGACCTGAGTAGTCTGTCCCCACATTTCTAGATCCATCTGGGCATTTTGAGGCAGCTGAGCAGCTATGGTGAAGCTGGGCAGCAATCTGTCAGATAAGCTGGAGAAGCAGCCATCTGTGGACGATGGCTTTGATAACATTCCCCTCATCACACCCCTGGAGGTCAACCAGCTCCAGCAGTCATTCGCAGACAAGGTAAGTAAGTCCTCCTAGACATGTGTTTCCAAGTTAAAAAGTGGCCGCAGCAGAACCGTGCGTCACAGAAATACGCAACAGATTACAACTCCCTGCAAAACATGCTGGGCAAACACCATTAAAATTCATGTGGGGACACTTAACTCCCTTACATAAGCAACACTGAGACTACTGTATTTACCTTTCCTTACCTTCCCTCCCAGGTTAAAACCTTGGCATCAGGCCACATGATGCAAGCACCCCTTTGAATGCATAATGCAAGAAGAAAGCCGTCACAATCACTTTTTGATCGGACGATGCATTTAGCTGCACAGGATGTTCCACAGACAGAGTAGCTAAGCTGATGGTGCACACTTCCTAAATGTCTTTGCAGGGTATCGCTCAAAACTGCCAACAAATGACGCTGATGTATTTTTAGACATGCAAAGCAGTGTTTTGAGTGGAAACAGGATCGCTGAACCTGTGCTGAACACTGGGGACAACATCATCCATCAACCATAATGGCTAATTAGGAATTCTGAGCTTTTTTTTTTTTTTGCCGGCACAGTCACACTGAAAGCACATTTTCTCTGCTACAGGTCATTGTGAAGACGTCGACACAGTACCAGCTGCAGCAGCAGAAGAAGAACAAGCTGTATGTTCCCAACATTAAGAAGCTGAATATCAACTTCTACAGTGATGTTTCTGAGAAGGCCAAGGTAGGACAGTGTAATGTCTAGAAACAAACGCAAATTCTTATTTTGATGTAAGTCTGGAGGTTTTTTTTATGTACGTACTAACAGCATCAAAAATCCAAAACCAATAATAAACGATGTAGGCTCTTGTAGTTCTAACGACTTTTGCGTCGGTCGCCAAGAGTTCCATTTTTGCCCGAAGACTTCTGCACTGGGTGGCATGCACACTGGCAATGTACTTTCTTTTGATTCATACAGTATCATAAACACTATCCTGATGCTGGAAAGGCTCCATTGAGTAATGGATGTGTCTTCATTCATGCCAGAAAACGGGGCCTTACTGTTTAAGCTAAAAACCACAGTGCCCAACTTTTTGAGGAAATTGTTTAGTCTTTTTTTTTTTTTAAGGACTTTTTCGATCAATCCGGTAGCTTCATATGTTCAGAGGGAACCATGGACTGTATATAAAGATGGACAACATGCCACTTCTTCCTCCCACTGTACAAATGTGAAGCCAAAGTATTGCAGGAATGGGTGCTGCCATCTTGTGCTCGTCATTTTGTTTTACCGCCAGAATCTGCACAGTAGTGAGGTGGTAGTGAGGTTCAATCTGTTTCCAAGCCCAATTGTGAGCACACACCTCTTAAACTTAATATAGTCCCGACGCTACAGTCCTGACTGTGTTGGAATGTTGTGGACAATCACTTTGCCCTTTTTATTTCCTAGAATAGACAATAAATGATTAGTTGGTGCGAGTTGTCTTGCTGCCTGGTTACATTTAAACATAATTTCCCAGTAGATTGGTTCGTGGTTTTACCTTGCAAGCCACTATATTCAATACAATCTAGTTTTATTTAGATAGTCAGATAGTTAGTCAGATAATTCACTGCATATGTCACCTCAAGGTAGTTCACCTACTAAGGGCAAACCCTTACAAAATTACAGAGAGAAACCCAACAAATCCAAATGATTTTTCTCAAGAAGAAACCTCCGGCAGAACCAAGTTTAGGGAGAGGGGTCATCTGCCACAACCGGTTTGGTTGAGGGCTAGGGGGCAAAAGAAAAGGATAGCAGATAGACAAACAATGCATAAGTGAAACAATAAACCCCGGAGAGGTCGGTGAGGCCAATAACCACCCATCAGAAACGTGTAGCTCCACAGCCAGAGAAGAGAAGAGTCCTCCAGCAGTTTGGACCTATTGGAGGATAACGAAGGGATGTTCAGGGTCACCTGAGCTAGACCGAAATATAAGCTTTCTCAAAGAGGAAAGTTTTAAGCCTAATCTTAAACTGGGAGCTGATTCCATAACAAAGGAGCTGGTACCTTCTGAAAACTCTGGGACCTGCAAGTAAACCTGGATTCTGAGAGCATTCTAAAGTGTGCTGTTGGGAATGTGATACATGAAGGAGTTACAGTGGTCCAGCCGAGAAGTTACAAATGCATGGACTAATGTTTCAGCATCACTCTGAAACAGGATGTTCCTAGCTTTGACAATATTGCACAGGTGCAAGAAGGTCGTCCTACAGTGAGAGTTAAATGACATATCCTTCTCAAAACTAACTCCAATGTCATCTGGAGCAACTTAATGGTTAGAAAGTGTGTTGCTGAGGTGCTTAGGGCCAAATACCATAACTTCAGTTTTATCTGAATTTAGCCCATGAACATTACAGATCAGGACCTGATTTGTTTTGTCCAGGTTCATAGATAAATATAGCTGGGTGTCATCTGCATAGCAGTGTCTTAATTTCTAATAATATTGCCTGATGGGAGTACATACAAGGTGAATAGTTCTGGTCCTAGCATATTACGTAGTTAAGGAAAGGAACAGTCCAGTTTCTGAACAGTGGTTCACATGTGTCTCCCAGACTACTTTAGACCAGCTGCCAGTCATGACGACATACATCCCTTTAAACAACTAATCAAAAACAGTATTTAAGTACTTAATATGACAGAAACCATATTTACTTCGATTTCTTTTTAGCTTGGCTCATGTCCCATCTGCTAACATGGAGGGGGTAGGATTTATGACCTGTACTGCAGGTAGCCATCAGCTCCAAGCACTTCTGAGGGGCTGTCCAAGCTCCCAGAAACTTTACTGGGCTATGTGTTGATTTTGATAAAGTGGCCAAACTGCATTACCAAACCTCCACATATATCATCTGATCCACACTTGGTGCAAAAAAAGCGTTTTTCCCGCACACATCATTGGAAAAGGAGTGGATGTAAACTGGTGAATACATTTGGAAGCCTGACACACATGCTCCATACGTACTTGGCTGTGAAGGATGCTAATGCTCCTGCTCTATGGGTAATCAATTGCAACATCTGGGTAATTCATGGAGGAAGCTTGGATGCTTATATGCACCACTGACCAGCCTTCCTTTCAATGAATGGAAGGCTGGTATCTTGTAATCTGGTATCCACATGTCCTTGATGCGTCCATTGAGCTGTCATGTCCATCTTAAAGTCTGTAGAAGGAACCAATGAAGGAAAATCAGCAAATATTGAGAGACGGGCTAATGCATTATTGAGTAAAGATGACACTTATTGCGGAAATGGTGTGTATGTACAGAATGTGTGTGTGTTCATGTCTCTGTGTGTGTTTTGTCCGTCAGATCACAGGTCTGATCCTCATCACTTTGGCCTTCTTGACCAGCCTGCTCCTCCTGCTCATGTACAAAACCATGTGGTACGACCAACTTACCTGTCCAGAGGGTTTCATCCTTAAGGTAAGGTAGCATATACGTGTAGGTAAGCTTACATACACCATCTGAGCCACTAAAACACTGCTTAGCATATGTGATTTTGCAGTTTTAGGGAGTTTTTTAAAAATGTATTTTATGTAAACTCTACTTGCGGAGTTGTCGATACACACAGATGTGTTCCGACTCACATTCAAAATCTGATTTTTATCACCTGTTCCATGAACGTACATTAAATTCTTTAAGAATTACCATAACTAATTCTTGCCTAATCCTTTTCCTAACCTGTATCTAATCTTAAATCTAGACTTTAACCTAAAATTTAATGATTTGAGTTGCAAGGACTTTCTTTTGGTCCCCAGAAGGGAGGTGAATCCCCACAGTACGACTATGTAAACAGATTTTTGTCCCCACAACATTAGTAATACAAACACACACACACACACAAACGTATAAATGTGGATATAAGTGATTCAGACAAACACAGGAACGCAAAACATCTTGGCAGATCTATTATCTCATCTTCCTGCAGTATAGCAGAGATGAGTATAAGCAGCTCATATCAACAGTTCATAATTTGATTTCACAAACCCACATCAGTGTGTGCGACACCCACTCAGAGAGTACTCACACAGTCTGCACCGTAGTTTATCTGGTGCTGTATTTCTCAGCATAACCTCACTTTGTCACTTCGGGAGGATTGTGCAAAAGCAGGAGCCCAAACTCATTGTCTCCCAACGACACCTTGGAGGCATTGCGTACCGAGGCGGCGCTGCCACGCATGTTGGTTAAAGAGTCTGTCCCTTAGAAGAAAATGAGAGAGTGTTACAGACAGAGAGAGAGAGAAGGGGGAGGAAGGAGGAAAGGGAGTGACGAGGCCCGCTTTCTGGTCAGGCAGAGATTGGGATGCCCGCCTGTGAATCGGAGGGGTCTTTAATTAGGGCTGAGCGTGACTAAACTGTGATTAAAGGCTTAACAGTGAGGGGGGAAGCAAGGAAGGGAAGCAGGAGGAGGAGGGGAGGGGAGGACCTTCCGGCAAAGCTTTTGAAGTTTTTGCCGGTTACAGTTGCTTTTAGCATTTTTTTTTTTTTTTTTTTTACTGCTAATGCGTTGTTGGAGACATAAAAAGAGGATGGAGGGTGGCGTAGCCGCTGCCAGGCTTTTGAGAGTCTCGACTCCTTGCTGTGAAGGAAGGTCAGGTAGTGGATCCTCTAAAGGGAAAGACTTGTGAGGTCAGGGACTCTTCAGTGTGCTCTTTCCAAAGCAGAACATTAACAGGATCACTTTGATGTAATCCATCCACATTATCTTATACAAACCTTCACTCGCCCCAAAAACAAGTACATTTAGGGATGTGTTGACGGAGGCTTTCTCCTCAAACGAGGACTGATTCTGATAACTGTGTTCTGTTAGTACTGTACACCTTTAACTATGTATGTGCACTGCATTTCAACAACCCTGGTCTCATTTGGAGAAACATTTGTGATGCAGAATATTATAGAAAAACTAACATTTGTCCTCTGATGGAAATACATTATCTTGTCTTATTTTCTTAATATTTCCGCTCAGTCTGGTGCATCCTCATGATAACCTGATTATCCTCTGGAGCACCTTTTAATTTGTGCTTGAAAGCTTATTCTTGGAATTATAAGAAGTTTGACACTATAATCTTAATTCCATGTCAAATTACTAGTTTTGTCAATGAGCCATTTACCTGCTCAACCATGTCAGCACTTCTAAACCTACTTTCTGAAATATCTTCCTGAATGTGCAGCCAAGCAGTGACAGTGGCTGCACGTTAAACTGCAGTTCTTTAAGGAATTTTTTTAAGACTTCCGAGAACAACCACGTGCATGATTATTTGACATGTCGGAAAATCAGATGTTAACGAGATGAAACATGCAGGAGAAGGCTCCTGATTGTGGAATAATTCTGAAATACATTGACACGTATATAAAGCAGAATACAGTTTAGCTGTGATAGAAACCTAAACTTATGTTACTGTGAACAGTGATTTCAACTGTCTCTTAGAGTTGCAGTTACGTTGGGCAAGTTATGTGCATAACTTCGATGGAATATGCAACTTGCAAAAAAATAAGCCAATACATGCAACTGCATTGGATTGTGATTTCAAATGTCATTATTGCAAAAAATGTTCATATATTGGTCAAATCAGAAAGAAATATGTAGTCTGTGTTGACCCAAGATGGACTTTGCTCCGTGTTTTTAACGTCAAAGCAATGGCTGTGCTCCAGATCGCATACTTATGTAGTGTAGCTGCCCTCAGAAAGTACGCACTCCTTTGTACAGTATGGATACATATTACTTCATCATAATAATTAAAACTTTGACCATCACAGTCAGACACCACGACGTATGTGATGTAACTGCACTGAGCAGTGTGGGTCAGAAAAGTGTGTTGGTTTCATACTGCATAGTTCAACTGGATGTAGTAGGACATCTGGGGTAGTACCAGGTACTGTGAACAGGATTTTGCTAGTATTTTACATGAGACGTGTAAATTCAGCTTCTTTAAAAAAAAAAAAAAAGTGTATTTTTTTTAATATTTAAAAAATACCAGGAAAAAAAATCTGTTACTTTACAGTTCGTTTTTTGCTTTTTACTGCAACATTCAACAGGCTGTAGTTGGACATCTGGGTATTTTTGGCCTGTTACATTTTACATACTGTGCACTGGGACACACTCAGTCTCTTCTGACGTACTAAACAGTGTGGTAGTTTGGCTGTTGCGTCACTTAAACTGAAACCAACGGAGCCGTTATGTTTCCGTCGTAACAGCAGAAGCACTGCACCCCTGCAGCTCTGGAGATGTACTACACAGAGCAGCAGCAGCAGCAGCAGCAGCAGGAGCCCGGCGTCCACGGCAGCACCAACACCGGGCTGTACGCCGCTCTCAGCCACCTCAACCAGGTCAAGAGGACTGAGCCTGAGCTGCCGTCGCCATGGTTACCAGTCATCAGCGCTCTGAAGGAGGCCGAGGTGGCCAAACAAGGCAGCGAGTCGCTGAAAGGAGCGCTGGAGGGAGAAAAGTGAAGGAGTGAATGGAAACGTGGGTGTTAGAGGAGAAAATGGCAGTGGGGACGTCGTGTATGTTATTTTTCTTTGTGTGTATAAGATTTTTTGGTTTATTCTTCCCCCAGACAGTCCAGTGAATCACTTGCTCACAGTGGTGCTTCAGAAGGTCTGAGTATCTACTGACGATTCCAATCAGTATTATAAGGATGTGTGTGTGTGTGCGTGTGTGTGGTGAGTTGTTGTGGTCGGAGGCAGGAATGTGCCTGACTATTACAGTGTTACTGAGTCATGACTAAAGTCTGCCATCTGGATCTTGTGTGCGCTTTGTAAATACTGTACACTGTAAATGCTTACATACATACGAGCATGTATGTCCGGTGTGAGTATGTGTATTAATGGGCGGTGTGTGTGCGCATACACACTGTGTAAAATGTGCGCTCGTCTGAATAAGTTGGAGGAGAGAGAAGAGAAGCGAGGCGAGAACTCGCAGTGAGAAGCGAAGATAACAAGTTTTTAATGAGATGGCTGCGAGTTTTTCTCCTCATCACTTTGTTATCTTCTCGTCTCTTCATTTAGTCTTAGAGCAGAATGTATGAAATCATTATTAAATGTGCTCACAGTTTAATTATTAAGACATTTTCATTTTTTTCCCCCATCTTACTGTCTCTGGACTGTAAGTTTCTTGGGTTTTGTAAAGTTAAAGTTAGAGGACAGTTAGTTTTCAAAGTATCAAAAGTAAAAAAAAATCACGACAGTATTTAGAATTAATTACCAGAAAAGGTAATTAAATCCACGGTATATTAAATATATAACACGATGAATCAACTAAAGGGGTCCGGATGCTTTCTCAGTATGACTCCTCATTTATGTTCCTCTACAGTGTGAGCTCCTGACTTTAATTATGGACACCACTTGAGAACTTTTAATGTATTATTACAAACAAAATCAACATTTCAACAATGCTGCATATTCATGTGGTTAAGTTAATTAAGCCAATTAAGCTCCACCCTATTTGTTTTTGTTGTTGCTGCTACTAATTTATTTTTTAATTTATGTAACTGTATGTATGCTGTAAAGACCTTGTAAATGTACAGTATAACAACACCAGGGTTAACTCCTCATCATCCTTTATATGAATGTATGAAGTAGCTGCTCGCATCATGCAGTAAATATAATTAGCGCTTAGGATGTAAAAAGCTTCTATGTTGTTTCTGATTGTTTAACAGAGTATTTATCTTATTTAATGTCTTTGAATGGAAAGTTTTTGTTTGCAGGAGAATTCTTTTCAGTTCCATCATACATCTGATTTTAAAGGGAAGGGGGAAAAATACATGAAGGTGATCATCAAACACAGGTGAAAATATGACATGTGGCTAATAAATAACAAGACTAATGCGGTAACTCTATTTTATTTCATTTAGGTGGTTTGTAGCTTTAGGGGGGGGTGGTTATGCTTGTCCATTGGTCAGTGTATATCATGTGATTGGACTTCCATAACATCAGTCTTGTTATTTAATAGCCACACCTCATATTGAGTCTCACACTGACCTGACAAGTCTTGTAATTTGTCTTAATTCTCTCATTTTGTCTGACCTGCTGTACCTTTTCTCTTCTTGTCAATCTAAGTTTTTTCCTTTATGTTTTTTTTTTTTCTTTTTCCCCTCAAATGGCAATAATCTTTTTTTGGAAGGAAACTCTTTCATGTGAGTAGGACGAATGTGAGATCACAGCACAGCTTGTCCCTCCGGGTTCAGGTGCCAAACGTTGACATCAGCCCCATCTGCTCTGATGTCACTGACTGAACAGAAATAAATGACTGGAGTGTTGAGCTCTCTCATTCACAACCAGCCCCGTTCGCCTCTAATGACCTGAATTCATGATTTGCCAGGACAGATGGAATTTTTTGCTGTTTGGGTTTAACTGAAACCATTCGGGAGGTGTTTTTATCCCCACTGTTTGATAGCGATGGTTAGTAGTTACTTTGCAGAGTAAGATTTAGCACACAAAGCATTTAAGACATGATAACCTTATAAAACATCAGCTTGGTTATCAACCCTGAAAAGCACAAATATAATGTCCAAAATGTACAGTAGTAAGAAACGCTACATTATTATGCAGCGACACAGACTCATTTAACCTTGTGAACTTATGGTTTCTCAATATTTTCACCCAAGAGTCCTTGTATTTCTTTCTGAGTTAGGCAAACTTTTATCTTTACATACACAACCTTGTAGAATGTGATGCATTGTTGCAGACTTAGTTACCTGACATGTAAAAATCTGCTCCACCTTGACAGACACACACTTAATGACGTCTTACACATGCATCAGTAATAACCATCAAATGCTACATATAGTAGTGAAAGTGATTGTTTCCTGAAAAATAAATCAGAAACAAGTAGTTACCCCCTGTAAAATAAGGAAAAATAAGATAAGATAAGATAAGATCTCACAGTGGAGAAATTCACAGACAACCTTCTTATAAAAATATAAAGCAATCTTCTAAAATGGTCATACGGTTGCTAACCTTAATTTTACATGAGATCATGATAATTAACTATAAACCCATAAACAATGTTAAGTGACGCTATAGGCTAACTACAAAATATCAGGTGTAATACCACAAAAAAGGGCCATTATCACCTGGCTTGTACTGTGTATGTTATCAACTGTAGTTTTTACACATAATTTTACAGTAAAATCTCATTTTCAATGTTAAAAAAAAGTATTTCCACCTACAAAATAAATATAGAATAACTTATAGATAACTTTACCTTAGTATATAATATGTTTACAATATTAAATGAGAATTTACCAGTTTCATTTCTTGAATGAAAGTAAATATTTGCAAAAATTCAGATTATCTTTATGTGGAAAAATATTTCAAAAAAAAATATTTTTGGTTATCCGCAACCACAAGGTTTTAGTGTTATTTTAATTTGGCATTTAAATCCATCATTTATTTTTGGAATCGTTTTAGTATTTATTTATTTTTTCCCACTTTTGATCCTCAACATTTAAGTATTAAAACTTGCATACTTTTACTTAAGTCTCCATGTAATGAAGTTTTTCTACAAAGTCGTACGGCTACTTTTAAGTGATGAATTCAACTGCTTCTTCCACCAGTCGTTCCTGTGCAGGGAAAAGAAGTCAAGGCATTTGCTTTGGTAGAGCATTTGCTATTCAGACTTTTTTTTTTTTTTTCGTCTAAAAAAAGAACTAATCCTAAATTACCAGCGGAAGAAACATGTACAGCTCCTGTTACGCTGTCTTGCTCAAAGATGCTCAGTATGCATAGAATTCAAAATATGATTCCTTCCATCTCCTCAAACTTTAGTTTAGCAATTCAAAGCCAAGCCACATCCTCTCGTTCGCTCTCTGCTGGCTTCGCTGCTGTGAGCCTGTCTGCATCTCATTTACACTCACATATTTTCACACCATCGCTGTAAACCCAGGGATGTGTGGCTTGAAGCTTTTGTATGCCTGCGTGTGTGTGTGTGTGTGTGTGTGTCACTATGAAATCATTAACCTAAAGTTATGTGTGCGTTCGCTAAAGTTTATGCCCGTCCTGTGTCTGTTAGAGTGTGTGTTTACGCCTTGATGTGTGTGTTTGTATGCGTGTGTGTGCCCATGCTTAGCCTGTTAATTAAATCTACATTACACCCTGTTTAGCCTTTAGGGTTTTTTTGTTTTTTTTTTCTCCCCCCACTGTTCCTGGGTGACATACTTTAGATGCTGTTGGCCCAGGGCATGGAATTAAATAAAGTGCTAAAAAATATTTATTAGGGCATTTACAGATCCCAGGCTTGGTCAAGGCATAGCATGTTGTGCCAAAAAGCCTCAGATTCAGGGCCGGAGGAAAATCACGTAAAATCAGCCGAGTAGTCACGTAAAGGCCGCCAAGCCCACTTTCCTGCTTTATAGCATCAACAGATCTGAACAGTAAAATAGCAGGTTGGCTTTTTAATTTGTTCTGACCGTTTCGGAGTCCTCCTCTCCTCCCCCAATGCGTCCCCCCGTGAAGATTGCAAAGGAGGCCGAGCCAAGAGTCATTTGGCCAGAAGCATCCCAGCAGAATTCCTCTGAGCCCTGATGTCACTCAAACGTTGGAGGGAAGGAGGGAGGTTTCATGGTGATGTAAGTACCGTCTTCCTCTTTCTCCGTTTGCTGTGCATCTCCCGCTGCAGTGTCAGCTTTTCAATAAAGCGGGAAACACAATAAAAAGATAGGCAGGTGTGGATCCAAAGAGTAGAGAGCAGCGTCCATGTTGATTAAGTGGTGAACTCTTTGGAATGAAGTAAAAGACAAGACTGACTTTTATGAGGTTCAGCCTGGAGATTCCAGCAAGTTGCTTCTCAGAGTTAAGAACAAACAAAAAGCACATAAGCCCCATAAAATTTAATTTGTACTTTCTTATTTTTCGTACTAATCCGTGAGCTTTAGAGGTGCTAATAGGTGGATTTTGCCACCTTCGGACACTGTGCTAAGATAACTACCCACATGTTCACCTAAAAACTATTTCCCCTAATGTCAAACTTTTGCCTTAAATCTTTAACAACTCAAAAAAAAAAAACCCTGTAGATATAAACAACGATGGTCTCTAAAGTTCGGTTCGAGGTGATTTTCAGCTGTCTGCAGTACAGAAATATGTAAATACAGACTTTTAGGGGCATGTTTTGGAGTTCCTGTCCAAAACATTTGCAAATTACTTTCATAGCAAATATTACTGAAGCCAGGTGTGGTTTTGGATTATGAAAACAGCAGATTTTGTATATTTTATTTGAGTATTTCTTAGGATGTTACATCATTCTTTTGTGATTTTCAGGTGCGTTTCTTTACACCAATAGAATTTCTTTCCTCTGTCCATTATATATGACTGCTGTTTATTTTACAAATTAATCTCTAGAAAGGACTCAAAGGAGTTCCAACAAATTAATTATTGTTTTTTGAAATTGTGTTTTATTTTGGCAGAAAAAAACACATCAAATCCTTGTCTCTGATTGGCTATTTCAGCTCCAA